AGCCATCGCGATTGCGCGGGCCCCTACCAGAAATTCGTTGCGCCGCCCTTGGGGGCAAAAAACGGTGAAAGCTAACGTACGAAATCAGAGGGCAGCACACGATATGCGATCGCGCGACCCTGCCCGTGAGCAATCACCCAACTCATCTCTGTCAAAGAATACAGAAGTCTCCAGACTACAGATGCTGGAGACATCTGCATTCTTTGTCGTGACATGCGTGGCACTTTCTATTTTTCACTATGCGTCGTATTTTCAGAGCTAGATTTTACTTACCATCGGTAACTTCCCTACTAACGATAAAGCAGAAATGTACATCGATATAACATTTAAGTACATTAAATAATACATGTAACCTTATGGTGACACATGTTTTAAACATTATTCAGCATGCTGCAATTATTCCTGAGTTTTAACCAATACGGCCGTTTTCGGATCACATGTTAATAATGCCAGTCATAGTAGTCATCTTTCAAACGTCACGTCTTGTGTTGTTTACTCTAAAGGGCAACTGACAAATAAATAAGACTGTATATTTAAAGAATTATACGCTATATTTTTGTTCTAACATATTTCCTCTCATTTCGTTTATAAAATTCATCACTGAATTTGCCTCAAAATCCAAGTTTTTGTCGAAAAATACAGTATTTCCAACCAAAGGAGCACTCCACGACATCTACAGGCGCAGTCGTACATTCGCTTTGACAAATGTCATGGAGTCGCTGTCATACACTCGAACATAATATTGCAGGTTGAATCCTTGATGGTTTTTCCAATGTAGATGCAGGAGAGGACTAGGGAGACCTTTGTGTTCCGTCTTATAAGAGTATCTTCGTCTCTCTCGTGAACCCAATGAGAGCAACAGAGAGAAACTGGTCTCTCAGTACAGAGAGTGGGGGCATCTCATGAGGCAACCCTTCGGTAAGCCCACGTATGTATGCGGCAAATCGACTATCGTGAAGTAGGAAAATTTGTGACGTGCTCTAACCCACATCCTTTCGCGTGAAATGTCCGAGATTCTGTAATATTTCGCATCCTGACGGCGTCCCGAGAAGCCCGCGTAACTTTGCTCACGATCGCGTCCTGCCCACCTTCCCATCGAATCGTTCGGCGTGAGAAATAATGCAAAAGCGTAAAGGCGAACGCAAAGCACGATAATCCAGGGTGAGTGAATGCTTCGGAGATCCCGAGGCCAGCCCTTTAGCTCACAGCTGGTAGTCAGTCTTTTGACTCGCATTCCTCTAGATTTTCCCGGCTGCCTTGAGTGTTTTCCGCGACGTGGAATCTTGTGAAAGCCTTCCTCCGTGATTTTCGTTATATAATGCGGCCAAGTTTACTGTTCGATATCTTGATATCGAGAAACGCTTTTTCCCTTTCACTTCGTCTGGGCAGCTGCTTAGATTTTTCTTAATCTCTCTATACCGCGATAGCTAGTTGTCGCGCGGTTGAAGGCAACGCGGAAGATGCTTGTTATCCTCCTGCAAGGTGTTTGATATTTGTAAATAATTCCTGTAAACTGAACCTGGCATTCTTGACCTAAATGCAACCTCATACTCCTACGTAGCACTTTCTTTCCGATGTTTTACAACCACGTTTGAAAACAGCTTGGTGTGCGTTCCATTAGGCAACGTAATGTTGTGGAATACAATTTCCTCATCAGGTGATACATTCGATTAGAGACTTGACATTACTAATTGCTCTGTATGAAGTTTTAAAGATAAAATATCAATGAATTAGGAATTCCTTGAATATTCTCAATTCGGGACACTGAAAGTACACTTACATACTTCATTTACATTTCTTAATTATATCTTAATATTTTTTACTTTGTTCAGATTATAGATAAAAGTGAATAATTAAAGGAGGTCTAGTGGCGTCAATATGAGTGTAAGTTTTGCTTTAAAATTTGTTAAGATATATGTGGAGTTTTAGTTCTTAAGCTAATCAAAGCTTGTATTTTAGAATCCTTACCGAGGACATCAATACAAACCAAGAGATCATGCTTCGGCATCGAGTTATAGAATGTTTTCTCAAAATCAATGTGGACCTGCAATACCTACAGTTCAAGGAGATTTGCAATCGAGCGCTACGTTTCAACACTTATCACCTGTGGTGAATCAACAGCAGCAACAACCACAGCACCTACAACAACAGTGTTATAACGATCCTTGGGATTGGGGATCGGATGCTCAGAATAATGGCAATGATTCTTGGAACTGGAGTGTGGATCAACAATCTGATCCAAAGCAGCAGCAGCAGCAACAACAGCAGCAACAAAAGCATCCACAGCAGCAGCAGCAGCAGCAACAACAACAGCAACCGCAAACATTCCTACCACCGTATTCGAGTCATAGTCAGGTCCCATCAAATTCTATTCAAGAGAATTATTACAAAAATCAAAATGGGAACAACAGACCACCTGTAATTACACAACATTCTTCATCGGGTAGAAGCACACCAAAAATACATGCAAGTGGAGAACCGATCTCAAATCATGCAGGGCCATATAATAGATATACTAATTATTCTTTTAATCCGCAATATTCTGCACCTCCAAGGCCAAATTCAGCAAAATCGACATCTGAATCTAACGACCGGTCTCAATGGTCTAACGACCAGCAATCCCAAAATATACATGTGCAACAAAAATCTGCCGTTCATGAACAGAATACCAGAACTCCACCACTGTCAGAGATGAATAGTTATAATTGGAGTAACGATAAGCAAAGTGTTCACCCTGGCCAACAGGATTGGCAAAATCATTTGGATAGCACTACGAGTGGATATCGACATACAGTGAATGCAAATTTGGGGCAAGAAGGACAAAATGAGGATAACTTGATACACCAAGGAATGAATCAAGTTCCCTCTCAGTATCAAATTCCACTCTCTTATATGTCTAGAAGCGATTCTATGAATAATGATGTTTCAACGTGGTCAAATAGTGGACAGCAGGAATGTAATGTACCAAATTACTGGTCAAATCAGAGTATGGTTACTTCAAATCAGTGGCCCAATCAACAAGGAGACAACTTTTTGGTTAATCAATCTCAAGTTTATCAGTCTGGTAGTAATGAGAGTACATGGGATCCATCGAAAGATCCAAATATATCACAGAAATGGCCACAGAGCAATTTATCCAGTGCTTCAAGAGTAGATCAGTGGATGCAACAAAAAATAGAATCCAACGATGCATTAACGAGTAATATATTGCACGAAGATATTTCCAACAAAGTCGTTACAAGTGATTGGCAACAGATCAAGCCTCCCTCTTCTCATTTTACTTCTTCCACGTCAACAACTTCTGGTTCAGCCTCGACCAAATCCAATAGTATAGAACGACAAGATAGCACAGGGCAGGACGAACCGAGTAAACTCGTTTACGCTCAAATGACAAACGAACCTTTGGATGACGGTAAAACCATTGAAGATACTCTTAAAGATTCCATTGACTGTGATGCTCATTTTGCAATGAAATCTCAAATGAATGCAGTTTCCAGTAATTTGGAAAACGTCCTTCAGAATGCGGAGGATAAGTGGAACGTAACTAGAGATTGGGGTACTGTCCCTGCGAGTGAATTATCCAATGTATTTGGTCAACTAAATATTGGCCATAAATTGGAAACAAATGTCGAAGGTCCGGTACCCAATTTTGAAGAGCACATTGCAAGTCAACACCCTGCTTCATCAGAATGGAGTTCTCAACTAACTTCAGATTCTGAAATTATTTCCGACAACTTTACATCTGAAAATATATCCACGATACCATCTGGCCATGCAAGTGGTTCAGATCATACCAGTTTGGTCGAAAGTCAACCACCAGTTATTCAAGAGCGTGTGTTACCAGAAGCTACACATCAACCCAATGCTAGTAACATTATGGATAATACTTCACGAGGTGGATATGATCAATGGTACAACCAAAATGTTCATAAACAGCCTGGAAACGAGTGGCGTGTAAACGAACAAGTTCAGCCAATGAAGCAATGGTCGCCAGAGCAAGATGTCGAAAATTCAGAGAATATTCAACAATCGTCAGATTTTATTAATTTGGAGACAGTAACTGCTGGCTCACAAGCACATGACGTGTATCAATCAAATGATTCTGTTAATCGGGAAGACATAAATAAGGAGGGTAAGTCCACAGGAAGCGTGATAAAAGAAGGGACAAGTTCTAACGATATTCAACAAGAAACAAATGAAATAGAAATATCTTCGACACAACCTGTTCAATCTGTACCAGCCCAACCTCATCAAGTAGAGCAAGTAATGCAAAATATTCCTCATTACTATGGTTTAGTAATATTTTATTATATAAAACTGTTAAAAATATTATAATTGTTTTACAGACGTCCGACAGTTACGAATTTTCCTCAAACGACAGAAATACATTTTTGGAGACAGGAGAATTAACGGACTCTCATCAGGAGCATGAACTAACTCCTCCGAATCAAGATGACGAGAACGATGAGGTTCCTAATGATATCCCTTTTTTACGTGAAGTACCTGGACAGTCAAGCTCTGCAGATCCTAGAAGGAATGATCCTACAGGACAGGAACAGTATGTTCTCAACACATCACGTGTCTCTGATCCACGAAGGAATGATCCATCGGGTCAGGAACAAAATACCCAAAATAGAAATGTACCTGATAGAGCAGACCGACGAGATGTCCCTCCAGGCCAAGAAAGAAATATTTCTTTGGCTTCACGAGGGGATTCGGATACATTAGAGCGTAGGAATGATCCTTCTGGTAGAGAAAGATCTTTGCCTCCTCAACAGTCCCGTAACGATCCGTCCGGTGAGGAACGTATCTTGTCTATACCACAAGTTAGTCTACAACCAAGTGAAACGCGCGAAGTTCCTGGAAGAGGAAACGAACCAGAGGAAATCGTGCAACAAGTAGATAGTGAAGTTAGGCAGATTCCAGGTGGCGCATCTCCTAGCGATGTTGAGCAAATGACGGATGACTGGTTTCCTAGTGGTTCTCAGGAAGTTATGCCGCCAGTTTGTATGTATACAATATGTATACATCTTTTACAGGACAAAAATATGTCTTTTTAAAGTGAGTAAAGGTTTATGCACTGGCTAAATTATACATGATTTTAGCTTTATCGACGATACAAGATCAACCTACTGATGTAAGAAACAAAAGGGCGCAAGCTGTAGGTGCATCGATGGGTGAAGGTCAGCCAATTACAGCGACACCAAATCGTAGAGATTCTTACGAAGATGGAGACGATGAAGGATCTGGCAATAGCAGAGAAGAAAGTAGAGACAGACGGAGAGATGCGAGTCCTGAGAGGCGACACTATGATTATGATAGAAAAGGATCATAGTGAGTAGACAGTAATTTAAAATGCGACATGTAACATATGTAACTTCTACCCATTAATTTGCTTATTATAAAGTATTATTTTTTCATTTATATCGTATGTATAACATATGTCATATTTAATTTTAGCTATGATCGTGAGAGAGAATATGACGATGATTACTATTACGATCGGCGACGTGGAGCAGATTACGACAGAGCCTATAATTCTCGTGAGGATTTGGATCGCCGAGAGCCTTATAGAGATGATGATAGAAGACATCCAAGCAGAGATGATCTGGATAGACACGGGAGGGATGACATCGATCGAAGGGGAAGAATTAAAGACGATTTGGAAAAACGCGATAGCAGAAGAAGAGTGGATGAGCGTAGAAGAGTTGATGATACAAGGCGCAGAGAACCCAGAGAGTTTGATCCCCGATTTCCTAGAGACAGGGAGTACCCTGATCGCGATCGCGATAGAAGGAGAGACGATAGACGAGGACGAAGGTATAATGATTTCGAATCTAGAGATCAATACAGAAGAGAATACTACGATGATCCTTACGGTCGAAGGTATGTAACCGAGTATCTTATCCTTACAATGCAGGATATATGATATAATAATTCTTCGATTAGTGTACGTTATTCACTAAATAAAATCCTTATTTGTAGTTCCAGACCATCGAGTCGATCGTCTTATAACGACAGAGATAGAGACTATTACATGCGAAATAGGGACCCTTATTATGGTTACAATGGTAAATATATTTGCTGAGATTTCTTTCTTTACGAGGTATTTAGTGGATATCACCCTATACTTATTGTAGGTTACGGTGGTTACGATTATGGTGCAAATTACTATGCGTATCTCGAAAATTTGCGAAGAACTGATCCTGCTGCGTACGCCGAGTGGTACCATAAATACTATTCCAGTCAACAACAGCATCAGCAGCAAATACCGAGAGGGGTAGCCAGTTTTCCAGAGGACAGAGCCAGTGTCCATTCAGGACGTAGTTCTTGTGACGAAAGGTTAGTATTCTAATTATATTTTCGTAACACGTGTTCAGCTGAATGGAACGGGATTGAACCTTATATAATTTTTTAAATTATAATAATTACAATAATTTCTAAGATGAAGATTCATTAATGAAGTATTTTAGGGTGGAAGGAAAAAACTTCATTTTTTTTTTAAACCTGTGTTTTAGTTTGCTATATTCATGGGCCCACAATTTCCTTATGCAAATACTCAAACTCTTGCCAACTCTATTGACGAGATGTTGTTCTTTTTTATCTGATCTTTAAAACCATTATATTTATTTCGATTGTATATCAGATTGTTTGTGAATCCAAGCATTTGCGTCCGATCGCCGAACAAAGCATTGTACGTCCCTTATTTCGGATTTTTTGGATGGCCAAGATTTCCTTTACGGAGGCGCATGGCGATATGTCGTACTTCGAATAGGTGAGACCGAGTAATCCAATCTCGGTTTGGTAACCAGTACGCCAGAGATTATAGTATCTTAATTGAAAAATACTAGGCGTAAGACGCAGTATTATGTATTTGTACTTTCTCGAACTGAACTATCGCATTTGATAAATATGCTAAGTAGAAATGCTCGAAATTCATGTTGCCGTTTACGTCGTTCTCTGCAATTATGGACTTATTAAAGTTAAAAAACAGTTAATACGACGTTAAGAAGATACACTAAAAATGCAGTATCATCTTCTTATATTTTCTTGGAGTAAATTGCCGCTTCTAGTTAAGAAAAAAGTAAAAACATTTGTAACTCAATTTGTTACACAATTGTTTTCGCGTGAGTGAATCGACACCTATTTCACGTTTTCTGTAGTCAATATTGCTGTAGATCTGTAGAAGCTAAGAAATCATTCATGCCGTGAATGAAATTTCACATTTTCTGTTAAATATATTAAACTAATCATTGTTTTCAGGACTACGGGTGATAAGCGGGCCTTGGGTGATACTTCCTTGTTGGAGGACTCGAGAACTGCATCAGCCCGGATGACGCCGACTAAATTCTCAACTTCTCATGTATACGGTATAACGTGTTTGAAATATTATCGCTATTTGTTGAGATATTTTTTACCTAATTCAATTGACGAAGAAGCACATTAGAGATTACCAGGAACTAGGAGTAAAAAATTGAAAATATTCAACTAATATCATCTAGTTTTCATTTTGTCAGTACTTCTGTTTTATCAAGCCAAGTTTAATTATCCATCCAGTTGTCATATTTATAACGTATTAATACTTTGTTTCGTGATTAGGGTCATTTTCAATTGGTTCCTTACTACACGTGCACGCAAGTTACCCAGCTGATGGGGAGAGGGCAAAAGTGGACATTCTCCGCGTGGAGAATCTGTTACTGCATGATCCTGTTGCACGTGAGCTGCGAGCCTACCCTGGACCTCTAATTAAGCAAGTGTAATAATTGTTCGATATAAGCATGCGTGGAAAACATTCAGTATTTCATTCTAACATCTAAATCTTTGAAATTAAATCAAACGTACAATTTTATTAAATTTACATTTCGAGTTTGCTTATACCTTTACTAAAGGATATTGCTCTTCAAAATTTCGTATCAAGAATATTATCTAAAATTATAATATTGACATTTGGAAACTGATATGTTTGTTAAATAGCGAACAAAATACTTTTATATTTAAAATGGTTGTAAAACCGCCAGTTGATATCATTGTTTTATAAATTTGAGTATGAGTTTTTATCTCGCGTGCTGTGTATTTAAGAAGGCTATTTGATTTTCACCTTATATTATTATATATCTTAATTCCATAAATTATTGAGTAAATCATATTTATATAGGGGAGTTACGCACAAGAAGACGATAATTGAATATTGCGAAGCAAAGATTAGTAAGGCAGCGGCCAATGAAGAAATGGACGATCGTGCGTCTTATATACTTCTTTATCAGTTGATGATTATGTTGATTCAACAGAACGGAGTAAGTTTATCAATCGTATACATGAACATGACAAAATAATCATACATTACTGGATCTGAAATTCCTGTTTAGAACGTAGTTGGTGTAGATATAGCGTCTCTCCTGCTAAGGAATAAAGATGCATACCCTTATGAGTTGAACAAGCATGTGTCAAGAAGGGAATCGGTAATGTCTCAGCGAACTGGTGGTACTGGCACTGATGGAAATTTGAATGATACCACTCAAACATTTGAAAAAAGTGAGGATGTAAAGCGAAGGAAAACCGTTGAACGGGTAACTGATGAATTCAGAAATACGCTGCTCTGCGGATTAGTTCAAGAAGCATTGGGTGAGTTTTCAATTTTACTTATTAGAATTTAATTCATTGTTTTCGAAAGGATTGGAATAAATAAATATAATTTAACGTATATTCTCGACAGAGTTTGCAATGAATGAAGGATTGTGGGGTCATGCTCTTTTCCTGGCAAGCAAATTGGATAAACGCACCCATGCCTCGGTCATGACGCGCTTTGCCAATAGCTTACCGGCACAAGATCCTTTACAAACATTGTATCAACTTCATTCTGGACGTGTACCATCCAGTGTCACCGTAAGTATAATTTTCTAAATATTTTTAATATTTGGAAAATTTTTCTAAATATTTTTAATATTTGGAAAATTTTTCTAAATATTTTTAATATTTGGAAAATTTCCAATAAATCTGACCTAACCGCAATTTTATAAAACTAATATTCTTTCTTTCATAATTTTAGTGCGTTTCTGATCCTAAGTGGGATGACTGGAGACCTCACTTAGCTATGATCATTTCAAACACTTCTGCTAATCCAGAAATTAATCGAAAGTCTATTACGACTTTGGGAGACACGCTTGCAACCAGAGGGAACATACATGCCGCACATTTCTGTTACATCTTGTCGCAAATTGATTTTTGTTCATACAACACTACTTCTGGCAAACTGGTTCTAATAGGCTCGAATCATCATAAACCCTACGCGGAATTCGTTACCACTGAGGCAATCATGTTAACTGAAATATACGAATATGCCCGCAATCTTAGCGAGCCGGGCTTTAGTTTGGTGGAGCTTCAAACCTTCAAGTTCGAATTGGCAGTGAAGATGATTGATTACGGTCTGATGGAGAAGGCTTTGTTGTACATAGAGCAAATAGCTGTGAACATCAGCAATTCACCCTCCAAGTACAAGAAATCCTTCATAGAAGAGGTGTACACCCTTGGCGATAGAATCAAATATCAAGATCCAGTCTTTAAAGACTCTGAAGAAGACCCAGCGAACCTTGCTTGGCTTGACAATCTTGCCGAGATTGTCTGTAAATGCCAGGTAGAAATTATTATCATTAAATCAATAATACGTTTAGAATGGGGTAGATATAATATTTTAATGTATTCGCACTACTGCAGGCTGGGGAAATAATTCAAGACGATGCTCGGAGTCACGTAACAACGGACTTGCATACTGCAGTGCAAGGTCAAGACCGCAATGAATTTCAACAACAACATCAAAAATGGATCACTGCACAACCGGATTATTCCGAAGGATCAGTTTCTTTGATGGAAGTCCCTCCGGTGGATTCCCAGTCAGACTGGCAACCCATGTCTTTGCCAACCAACCCTCAGGATCCATACACTATGAACACGCCGAGCACACAATTTGCAGGTAGTGGCATAGAGACCAATCATTATCAACAACAATCGCAGCCGCAGCAAAGTTATTGGGAACCACCGCCGTACCATCAGCAAGAGTACACGACCCAAGAGTATTCATCTAACGAATGGCAGCAACAATCATCTGCACAGTATCAGTCCGAGCAACCGGATTTGGATAACGCCCAAGATCCTGGCAACTGGAATTACGAGGTAAAGTAATCCGATACCTTGCATTTGCTACGCCATACATTAAAGATTTAAGTGAACTCTTTAATTGCCACATGAGGAAATGACAGGTGCCGGAAAAAAATATTTATTTAAAAAAAACACTTCACAGAACTATTCGCAATTGATTATGAATTATTGTTCTGCTGGCTTTGTATCGATAAGGGGCTACTCTCGATTTTTGTTTTCTGACCAATCATGAGTATCCCCTGATCTCGGTGCCTACACAATTTATGTAGAATTAACATGTTTCGCCTCCTTCTTTATGCTCGCGTTGGACAGTCGGAAACGGAAGAGAAGTCGGCGACATCCGAAGTAAGTAATCCAACGCTTGCTTCGTCCAATACTCTCAATCAGAAATGGTTGACGGAGACGTCTACTGCTAGTTCACTACGTCGTCGTAAAGTCCCATCTAAACCGGAAACGCGTACTTCCTCCGAGCCTACGAGTGGCAGCGACCCTGTTCAAACAACCGTACCTCCGAAGGTCGACACTCCCGATTTGCATACCGTTTCCAAAGAGAAGTCCCAAAGGCCTATAAAGTATCCCAAGATAATGTCGGCATATCCACCGATTCTGTCGAATAAGAAAATTAACCATAAAGATCCTCCGAAACCGAGAAAGATCGACCCTACCATCGTGAGACCGCCACCTTCGCGACCACCTGTTTTCCTGAAGTGCAAAGTGCCCGAGAAAAATGAGGAACAATTCTCCAAAGAGTCAACCGAAAGAGAACCGGAAAACGTAGAATCAGTCACCGCTAAGGAAACAACGGATCTGGATATCCAATTTAGTAAACTGAAGCTCGATTCCTTCACCCCGCCCGATTCTTCGACGAAAACCGAGAAACGCTTGATCGTTGCTCCGAAGAGTAACAATCAAACGTTTACTCAATATTGTAGCTTTGAGGAGAAAAAGGTTGTAAGGGTTGCGCCGCATATTCGCCGGAAGGACGTTATTTGCGACACGGTTGATGCTTGGAGCGATGTCAACGGTGGACAGAATGTTGCAGAAGTTACGCGTTATAAGCCGCTCGTTTTCGGTGGAACTTATCCGATCGATGTTCCTCTCAGAGGTAGAACAATCGGCCGTGTTGAGCAAACTAGAGTAATCGATGCCACTGCACGCCATAGCGCAAAAACTTTTGACATTGACGCACCGATGAATTACAAGTGAGGAACATCTTAGCGGTGTTGGGTATATAACAGGCACGTTTGTACTCAAGTACTGTTGTTATAACAAATACAAATGATAAATGGGGTGTCAATAAATTGGTTATTGGGTAAATAAATTTGCTAATACGTGCGATTTGTTTATCTCTGCTGATTTCGACTAGGACTACATAAATGTATTCATATTTTGCCGGGTACTAAGCTGTGTATAGTATTTTCCGAATTTGTATTTATTTGCAAAATAATTAACCGATTGCAAACATGTCCATCCCTGGCATTTACTATTTTTGTAGAATGACCAAGGGACACTAATGTCACTTCGTATTTCAAGTTTATGTACCGCATTTGCTTCCTTTGGTGTACTGCAAAATCTTACTTTTATTTATTCTCTAAATATTCGCAGAGTGTATAGCACATACCGGACAGCCTTGTGAGTCGCGATGCTATTTTTGTTTAGCAATTCTGAAGTTAAAACTGAATCTTTAATACCCGTGATATATTATCTGCCACCCAGAGCAAGCTATTTCATTTTAATATTTAAATGTCACAATGTATATACGCTTATTGTTACATAATATGACATTCGAAATAAAATATGTTATACCGCACCTCGATTCTTATTTTTCAAGCGGGCAATTAATTGATATACCAACTTAGATGAATAATCCGATACGCCTTCGCGTTTCTTTTGTCTTCTCTGCGATTATACCCGTTTATTATAAAATTGAGATTCTTTCGATGAAGAGAATACGAACTGTAGTTAATAATAATGCGATTATAATTGTTTCAAACTTGATGCATGCAAAGTTTCTCGTTGTTTACTGTGATAGTGACGCATTGTAGTAATGAATATATTTCATTCACTGAGCTGTTTATAAGCTATTCGGAATCGGAACTGTTGCAGTAAGCGGCGATGAACTTTGCAGGAACAAGTTTGCGATAATGAAATGTATATTTTATTTTAGCCCCAACCGACCATTTCCATGGCGCCGTCCTCCTCCAAGCAGTATGACCCTCTGGAGGAACTGGATGCCTTGGAAACTCCGAACCAGCAATCGAAATCGGGAACGGACAACAAAAAACTCCAGGAAAAGTCAACCGAGAAGAAGACCTCCGCCGGCGCAGGAGGATCCTGGTTTGGAGGACTTTTCAGCAAGCTTGCCCCAAAACCGAAGAATCAAATGATTTTGCCCGATGACAATAATCCTACGGTAAGAATTACAGCAATAATTGACAAATGTTAACCTACTATATAGTTAGTACGGTATAGTGGATGTTTCACTTTTATGTTGCTAAGGGCTCGAGAGGATACTTTTGGTAATTGTCATCTGTGATCATATGACGGATCGAACAGGAAGGCCAGTATTATAAGGCTCTGAGTGGAACGTTCAATGAAAAACTAACAAACACTAATTCGTGTTATTTATTAGTAGCTTAGTCGCAGTTATGTTAGCTTCCATCGTAATGAATTAACAATTATTATTTAATTGAGGTTCTCTCGGCCCAATGACTTAATTAGATGTATGATAATGTGTCATAATGAAGTCGTACTAAACTTAACTTGAGAATATTGATTACCCACGGTTGTGATTATTGAGAAAAGAAAAATTATGACGTAACTGTATGTTGATTTGTATATCGATGTGTTCTTTAGATTGTTTGGGATCCTGTTGCCAAGAGGTGGATGAACAAGGACGAGGATTCAGAGGGTAACTCGACGTTACTAGCGCCTCCTCCGAAAGCTTCCGACATGGGATTTAATCCACCAGTAATGGAACTACAGAAACCTTCATCGACAATGCAACCTGCAGGACCAAATGAAGAGTCAAAAACTACGAACAGTTCAAAGCTGCTTACCGGCAGTAATAATATGTTCAAAATGCCAAAAGGTCGAAGTATGCGTGCCAATTACATAGACGTAATGAATCCGAATACTGGGAAGAGTAGCGGACCGTCTGCTAATTTGGTGACTCCAGCTACGTCCTCTTTGATGCCTATGGCTGCTTCGTCGCCCCAACTCTTTGTCCCCACTCCGGGTATTGTTATATTTCCTTATTTAATAATGTTAAAAATTATCAGATTTTACTCTGGTCAACAGGCTTCTATTTTACTAGCTTTACATCCTAAAGACTGGCAGCAAAAATGTTTTCCGCGATTTTTAATTTTTTCTAACGAAAGTTATACTCTTAAGAGAAAACAAATTACATGAGGGAAAGATTGTAATATACCCGAAACAATTTATACTACAAAGTATGTATTAGTTCTTTTTTATTAGGGAAATCGAAATTAGACTGAATTGTAGATGAGAGATCTTCAATGACATTGAAACAAATTCTGTACATAATTTAATAATGAGCGCTATTAAAGGATAACAATATATAAATATTGTTATTATGTTGCAGTAAATGATCCAAGTGCTCCAGTGGACTTTATAACGACTACATCAAGTGTGACGTCTACAGAAAGTGGACCGCAAGGGGTAAGTTTGAAAAACATTTTTACTCCATCGGTAGCTATTAAAAACAGGATGTTTTTCTTAAAATTGTATGTTATCTCAGTAGGATGGAAATTAAAAATTCAAAATGAATTCACATTTTTTATTTGAAAGAACAGTCACTATAATATGTAATTGGATCAGGTTAAACTATACTAAAAGCATCATTTGAAGTTCCTATCATTTTCAATATGATCTACTCAACATTAACATTGCAGTTTTCTACACACGTACTTCCGTTTTTCAAGACAATACACAACACGTATGCTTCAGTTTATATGATGCACCATGGCTACAATATTTTGCTTTCTCGTAACATCATTTAGACGTGTTTTGAAACTGTAATGTTATAAAGTTTGTTCATCGTCACATTCATTAACATAATTTCCTCATTAAGAACCTTAATATGCCTGCCTTTGAACTGTCTCCCCGTTTTGTTCAGTATTCGTTTACGTTAACGCGAACATATTATGATCTTTTTGGGACTATGTTAAGTATCTGTTGTGGTACCTATCAACCGTAATGCATGTTTCCTTCGAGTAAGGGGATATCAAAGTAGTTGTGTCTAAATTCTAAATGAAAATGTTTTTGACAATGATAATCCTTAGTGGATGTAATATTCTAGCGTGTTGTTCATAATATGTAAGCCTTCTTGCGTATGACCTATGTTTAATTCATTTCATGTTCCTTTCCGCAAGCAGTCAGGGAAGCAGAATGACGTAGCCAAATAACAGTTATTGCCAATAGTAAGGAAACCTCTTTTTCATTTGTTTCAATAAGTCGTTGCTTCATGCTAGGAATATTTTGCATGCCCATCGGTATGTTGTGTTGTGATGTGATGTATGTGGCCATACGTCTGGAACCTACGTATGGTATGTTATGCTACACCTGTATTTGTGTGCTTGCTGTATTTGTATTCTCTGCACTGGTATCCTGTCTTTACATTTTGAGAACAGCAAGTATTTTGGATTTCCTTCCTGTATGATCTCTATAACCTCCTGCCTTCATTAACTAATAATCTATTGTGTATTTCCAATGCGTAGGAATTCTGCGGTACTTGAGAAAACTGAGTAGTTATGGTGTAGTAACAGAGCCTTATCTTATTCCTTCTGTGTAATTATAAATCTGAAATTTTGGGTTAGATGTACTCGTACTCTTGTCCTCAGAATTAAGTAAAGTTCCGCACGCAGTCAGGGCTGAATTTTGACATTTGATGCTAAAGATTTTCATATGTGTCATCCCTAACATAACAGTATGTATATGCTTAGTTTGAGAAGTCTTTTCAATGCAAACGAGTTAAATAAGCCGATGCAATACCGATCTTTAGAATGGTATGAAATTTTTGCGTATTTCTTAGGGAATACATTTAAAAGTCCCAGAGCGTGTTTGAATATTAAAATTTTGATATTTATACATTCCTCAGTAATGTCTGAATGTTCAATATATCGTTAGACAAATGGTATTAATTATTGCCAACAGAACATATTATAAATTTAGTTACAACTGTAAATAGAACAATTGTAATTCTAATTACCAATTTTTCAAGAATTACCCTATTGTGTGACAAATTGTAGTATTGTGTATTGTTGACAATCGTAGAGCAAACATTTAATTTATTCGACATCAGAAAGCACATATTCGTTTAATGTCAGCATATATCCTAAACTTGTATTTTTGTATTACAGTAATAACATGCTTGACTCAATGAAAGAGTTAAAAGTATTTTAATATTGGAGTTTCAAAGGATTGTACCAAGTGTCAAAATTTTAAGTTAATCGTGAGGGTACTAGTATAGACGTTGGAGTGTAGCATATCACTTTTATTAGTTTGTGAACGCTTCAAGCCAATTGTGAAGATCGGTGCTGAGCTCTTCAATTATAATACTTTAATATAACAGCTTTGGGCGAGTATCAGTCTATGAGACGATATTGTTGTGTTATATATGGAATCTAGCTCTCTCGATGGAGCTCGACCAGCTCACTATCGCGAGAAGTGCAGAGCTACACGATGAGAGATCCGCGCCTCCTCCATCGGGAAAAGGTAAACATTTCCAGCCATATCACTAAGCTTGGTACAATATTGGTCACTGTGTAACAGAGCAACTTTTATAACGACAGCGAGAAAGGTGAAGGAAGTAAGAGCTTCAAGAACGTAAGATTCATTTTTAACAAGCGATGTAGTTCTTACACCATAGTGGGCCGCAATTTATCTGCTGTAATGGTTTGTCAATGATGTTCCTAATATGCCATGGTTAATATTCCTTACACCCATTTTATAATTTCGCACACAAAATGTTGCAGCAAAATTGCGGAAGAGCTTGGTGAAGGTTATGTCATCATTAGTTTTATGCTTTCATTTCTTCAAAATGTCTCCTTTCACATATAAGTTTCTGTCGTCATTACATCATTTACACTACTTTAAACCTCTGTAGCAAAGACTTTAATTATAGATTAATTAATGCTGTTCGATTTGTATTGAGAAGTTCAGGCCTGATATCTATAATGTATAACATATCAAACCTGGATTTAACCTCTAGAGAATATATATATGTGTGGGAAACGCAATGGTACTTAATTAAATATTTTTAATATCCCCAGGGACCAATGATGTTTAATCCGTCGGACATGAAAGATCGATCAATGAAGAATCCACAGCGCAGCAGATACCCACCACGGTAAAGCAGATATGGTTCCTGCAGATAAAGCTACCTTAAATCAGTGCTTCGAAAGATGTGCATTGGACTTGTTAATGTCTCTGTGAGGCATTCTTCGCAACAGCTGTAGGTTTCTGTAAAGATTTCAGGGCTGTAGAATTTATTGTAAGACAGTAGGAAAGTATCACTGCCGCTTGGCATCTAGGACAATTTATAATTTTGATCGCAAGTCGATCAGTTTGTATTCTACTTATGATCTATGATTATATTCAGAATGGAATCACTGGTAAGACATTTTTCAAAGCAGATTAATTAGGAACATCAACGTGGAATGCTATGGTGCAAAGAACATTGGGTCATTGAACTTTTGTACATCATTCTTGTAAGATGATGCATTCACGAGTACTGAGCGGTAATATGTAAACGTTCCATTTCCAGGTATGTAGATAGAGGTGGTATAGCCATGGGATCTTGTTACCGTTGGTGTTAATTCTTAACGGACTTTATACTGTCGGGATGTTTTTCAAGACATTTTATTGTATAAATACGGCTTTCTATACACGACGTTCGATTGGGTCATTACAAATGTTTTGTGTTTTTACATGAATTCTCTTGAAATCTTGTTACAATCATAAAGGATGTTTGCATCATAATCTATGAGGTGAATATCTGCACTATTTTTTTTTGCAGTAGAACGTTCACGGTACCATATATAAATAAAATAATTGTAGTTAGGATTTAATTACTCAATCTCCATTTGTTCAAAGGATTAGATCGTTCGGTATGGAGTAAAGGTTATATAGTTATCAACATAATCCTAATTGTCGATTGTTCTGTAACTGGACTTAAACGCTAAATCCTTTGATGAAATGTTACTTGCGAGGGTCTATCACTAATAAGACTAGCAATGATGTCAATGGGAATTTGTTAATTATGGCCTGAAGGTGTACGCTACGATCTAAAGTCTGATTTTATAACCTGACAAAAGTTCGGTTATTGCCACGAAGATAAGAGTCGCTAAAACCCTAATGTCAGATTGGTCATGGTTTCGTAAACTTTGATCTTGGATGAACCTGCTTAAGAAACTGTTGACATTATTTATGCGATGTGGAATTTGATCACAATGGTGCAGGTCAAGAACTGCACCATTTCGATCAAACAGATGTACAAACTGTCTGCTAGGATCAAGTTTATTCAAGCTTTGGAGAATTGTGAATGTTGAGAAAGTAGTTAATGATCTAACTTTCTTCTGTATTTCATGGGCAGTGAAAGACATTTGAAGTGAATCAGAAATGGCCAACGTTGCCTGACTATCTTAAGTTGCTTAAGACCTCTAATATAGTTTAAAGCTTCCAAGTCGTTACTTTAAGTTTTGCTCCGTGTTGCTAGAATTTGTATAGTTGTCTCAAAAACTTCTATATGTATATCATATGCAGGACTGCACTTTTTAATTTTTGGGCTTGCCATGAAGATACCTTAGTTTTCTCAGGTTAAACTCTATTTGTCTATTACATACTTTTGAACGAACAGCTATAAATCTTGTAAGCTAAATGTGGAGTGAAACAGAAGAAAGTTATTTGGGAATCTTGTCCACTCTTTACTTACGTTTGTGAGACATTCACAAGGTTATCTATTTATATTGTGAATAATAATTATTGTAAATAAATAGACGGTTCGTGGAATTGATTACCGATCACTGAATATGTGTTTGGATGAAGTTCATGAATATCGATGTCAAAGGGGAACACATCTTGTAACGTTTTAAATTATGGCTTTCGAAACATTCCTTACTATACAGACATATGTTTAGTACCTTGGCTACGATATCTTTCCTAGAAATGATTGTCCAGCTCTGATTTCTTTTCTGAGCTTTTGTGTCATGCTGCTCTTGGGATCGACAAGTCATTCCTAGGTAAAATGTAATTTTATAAATTGTTGGCTACTGTTTTTATTCATCAGACATGAAAAATTATTCTTCACATGCTGTGTATTATTTGTAATATTAACTTATAATATTGTTTAATAGCAAGTAAACATGCAATTCAGGTATAATTTGTAAAACCCCTTAATATGTTAAATTCGTTACATCGGGTAATGGATAAAAGTACTTTCTGTGTGTTGCATTCGTGTGGATTAGATAGCAATACAACTGTGCAAATATAATTGTAATTCCTTTCAACCAAATTAACTGTGAATCTGTCAACAATTCCACTTGTCAAATTTAATGTCCATACTTCTTTCGAATTTTTATTTGTTGTAAGGTCTCGTCTATTATTCACAATAATGTATCTCTAGAAATCGGCCTTAAGCGTAACATTATTATTATATATATATACATAAATGTATTATTAAAACAGTGATGGGTAAATAGAAATATACTTTATTCATAGTTTCCCTAGCTTCATTCCATTTTTTCAATTTTAGGGTCACGGAGAAGTGTAGTAAGGAATATTTATCTACCATCTTGAAACTTTACTTATTTTTAGCAAAAAAGTTGAGATGGGACATTGTCGGTAAGCTTCGGGTTAGGTAACAATTCCAATATTAGTATTAATATGAAGGTGTGTATGTATTTAGCAAACGACTCTAGCAAGTTTTCTAATATTGAAAAGGAGTATTAATTGCACTGTACATTGTACACGTAACAAGATGGGTGTTGCGTATCGGCTCAGCTTGAGACGTAACATTATACTGATAATTCTTTATGTCCCAGTTAAAGTTAATATACATTTATGAAAAATATGGTTAATAGTGTATAACCTATAACATCTCATTCCATTTATCGTCCCGTGCTGTACCAAAGGTAAAGTCTAAATTATGGTAGTACCGTAGAATTGAATTTCTACTACACTTCATTAAATTCAATTGAATTGAATTTCGCGCCATCAACCGTAGTATGGTGGGGTAGTTAATGTCGCGTCACGGAGGTATCAGTCAGTATCAGTATTTGTCGGTTACCGCTTGCTTCGGTGTACTTCTACGAAGAATTGTTATAATAAACTAAACGGTGTTCATTGATAATCGTCTAACATTCACAAAAATGAGCAGAGGAGCGTTAATAGTACTGGAAGGATGCGACCGGGCTGGAAAGTCAACTCAAGTTAAGATGCTCGTGAAAGCGTTAAATTCTCAGGGCATATCTTCGGAAGCTCGAGTTTTCCCAGGTAAATTCAAACGGTATTATTTTATTCATAATAAATTCTATAAAATTAGATACTTGTCTTAATTACGTACTTTTAATTATCAGTGAATAATTCAATGCGTTGGGTACGTGTTTATAAACTTGGCGGATCCGATGTCAGTGGCATGACTCTGTCACGTGACTTCCAGGGCTGTCCGATATCTTACTCGGGGTGTCTCAAAATTAACGGCTCACTGCAGAGATCAGTTGAGAGGTTGCTCACGGGCAGGGTCGCGCGATCGCGTCCTGTGCTGCCCCCCGGTGGAGGATGTGGGCGGCTAATGCCCTTGCCACCTGATACCCCCCAATGGCGGCCCAATTCAGGGATCCTCCTCATCTCTGTGATAAACATCGTTTAAAATCTTTTAACATCTCTTACTAACAAGTCCAGCAAGATCTGCGGCGTTGAACCACCATGATGGTTTGAAAAAAAAATGGATCCTGTTATGATCCACCTAAACCTGGAAAGGGGCACAAAAGAACGGGCAGACCAAAACATAAAAAAAAATCCAGGAAGTCTGAGATTAGACAGCGAATAAGTTACTAAATTCAAGAATATTAATGGTAGATCGATCTCGTTAAATTGACTGAACTGGTATTTTTCATATCACTAAGTAGGAGAAAATTAATTTAAATGTAGAATCGACAAAATATAATCGAAATGATCGCTGTTCGCCGTCTCTTCTCCGTCAATCCTGACGAGTGACATAGAAAAAAAATAGGAGGGACAACGTGGTCAAGAAATGGATGGTTGTCCGAAAGAACGGAAGGCCATCGTAGTTGCCTTCTTCTTATGGGGCCACTTCGGCATATAGCCTCTTCGACTCTTGCACTCTCATCGGGCAGAGCTCCCTACGTCTCGAATACTTGGCAATCCCCTGATTTTTCGCATTAAAAAAAATTACTCCGCGAGCTAATTTGAAAGCGAGCAAAACGACGACCTACGATTCGAGGATGCCCAGTCCGGGCGTATTGCACATTTATCCGGATTCCCAAGCAGGGTCTAATTAACTTCATTCCTTTTCAGGCCTCGCCCAGTCCGGGAGCTGGATTGCGATACTCCATTATTAGAATAAATTATAAATTATGTAGTTACGATTCAATAAGGGTAATTTGCACTCGGTATACATTTTTAACGGATTTGCTCATTTACTATTAATCATATTAGAGAAATGTTATTTTTCTAAAGCCTAGTAAACGGAACTATATATTTACATAACTTTGAAATATCTCTTTACTAGTTACCGCAAGAAATTGAGTAGTTCATTAAATGGATTCCGAATATCGGCGCAAATATAACGAGTTATAAGTGAAGTATGACCAAACGATATCGAAGTATTGGTATCCGTTATTGTAATTTGATCTGAAACTGTGCCGTATAGTACTTCTTTTGATTAAAAATATTCAAAGAATAATGTTGATCGTTTTACGTCTTTGTTCGTGATGTTCTATAGACAGGACCACTCCTGTGGGAGAGTTGATCGACAAATTTCTAAAGTACAATAAAGACCTTCCACCGGAGACAATACATCTGCTCTTCTCGGCTAATCGTTGGGAATGCAGTAAAGAGATGATAAACACTTTGAAAAATGGGACCACCCTTGTCGTTGACCGGTACGTATGTTGCTAAGATTTTAATTCATCTGATAAAAGCGATTGTTAAATAACACATTATGAAAAAAAAAAATGTATTCAAGGTATGCAGCATCAGGTGCAGCATACACCGCAGCTAATACAGGTAGAGAATTGGCTTGGTGCAAAGCGCCCGATAAAGGCCTTCCACGACCCGACATGATAGCGTTTCTGGAGGTTGCTGAGAAAGAACAAAGTCAAAGGGGTGACTGGGGAGCAGAAAGATTTGAACACCGAGAGTTCCAACGAAAAGTAGCGGCGAATTTTAATAAATTACACGATGACACATGGAGATACATAGACGCGAACGAAGACGCGGAGAAGATTCATTCCAAATTACTGCTCGAAACTCTTGAAGTTATAGCGAAGGTTAAACATTGCCCTATCGAGCAGCTATACGAGCCGTAATGGTCTGCCGATTATTCAGATCTGAAAAGATATATGTTAGTTTCTAAGCGAACACGTTGATCCGCACAGATTTTCACGGATAGATAAATAATCGGCTAAACATTTCTTTTATATCGTTGACTTGTGCTTCAGTATTATGAGGGTGTTTTTTATAAACCATGGTAGTTTGCAGACAATATTTTCCCACCTATTTCCATTCTTACAGTTTGACAGTTAGATTATTAATTGACGAAGTTGCCTCGGGTAGTATTTGCACTTTTTATGTCGTCTTTAACGTGTGGGGCAAATTGTTTAGGTCTTAAGGATACGATTATTAAAACAGAAAAACAACGTTAAAACCGTACTCAGAGTTATAGAACATAAGAAACGGTTAATTTTATTTAAATGTACTTATTTTAACGTGCGGTACTTCAATATTCTTTATAATAACTTGTACTATGGAAGGGTGAAAGAGAACATTTTAATTACATCAGTCTGACAAAGTATATGTCTATTTGTTCATACCCTCGAGTGAGGTTTCTCTGCAACAGAATGATCCTTATCAATTACGTTAATGAATCCTTCCTACGAGTAATCAAATTCCAAGAAAACTCAACTTTATCGTCCCTTTCGCGCGTAGCCCGTCTTCTCTCTTATATTCATTAAATTTTCTTTTATTTCAGAAACACCTCGCCAATATCCGTTCATAGCGTCAATTTAATCGATTTCCGTTCAAGGAGATACACTCTGGTGCGATCAAACCCGCGTTCAGGATTCCCCAACTGCAAGAAGACGTAGAAGATTACGTCGTTTTAACGCGTTCTGGACACTTATAAGAAACGCGATTTGTACACATTTACTCCATGCCTTACGTATGATACGCTCTTAACCGACACCATAAATTATTACGAGCTCGGCGACATGGCACGCTATAAATCTTATAACATCACTAGCACGCAGTTCCCATGTCGGGACGGTGCGGTATCCAATTCGCATTATTCAAGGCTAGACAACATCGGAATAATGCACTGTAGGCGTCGCATGCGACAGGACTCAGTTGATATTAATAAAAGCTCGACAGTAGATCACAACTCTCCGAGGAGTCCGGAACATGTATCTAGAGGTGGCGTGTTCAACATGTCCATCTACTGCTTTAAGGGGGGAAACCACATTAGGAGGCTGATTTTCAGCCGTTTTTTATGCATTTTTTTTTCACTGTGAAAAATTAACTGCTATTCGATCTAACTTTTACGTTATTTTATTGATACTTTGAATTACATTTACAAATTTTTTCAAGTTAGTTTTGACGAAAATGTCGAATTTTTGGACTGTTGTCCACCGAAGGTCGTCGTCCGAGTTCGTTGTTCGCGGGAAATGTGGAGGTCGCAATTTTTATCTCAAAGTAAAATGGTTGTTTTTTTTTACATTATTAACATGTTTTCGAAGAATATAAACCTCATTGCGAGTAGAAATTGTACAAATTGAAGTGTTGACAGGTGTTTGAAAAAAATGTCTCGATTTTCACCATTCTTTTTTTATTTTGCAATAATAAAACACCTTTAAAATGGCATATACTCAAGACCTATCGATATTAATTTCCGTTAATAAAAATCTACACAGGGCTCCGATCAAAGTAACGTCAAAGTGAAAGATAAAGGCAACATTCTTTCGTGGGCTTAAAAAAATGAAAATATGCCGCCAGGATTGATCTATTCTGCCCCTTTTTCAATACCTGAAATATTCAGAAATTACGTTTCGTCCCAATGTTGCGTGATACGAGTTATTAGGTAATACAGGAGCACTGTAATAAACAATGCGATGGTACCGAGTAGAAATTGAATCTTGAAACTTATGAAAGGCTAATTACAGTGACTTTATTGGACGTCATGTCAAGACGAGGATCATGTATGTTATATTTTTCTACACATTTTCCATCGTAGTTATCCCCTCCCTTCCATAGTAAAGATCGTATAAAAAAACCCATTTACAAATGCATGTACACTATCTCGAAAGGACCATTCTCTAACGCTAGGCCATTTATATCCAGCCCTGCGTCCGTGGATCTTTCGCGCAGACGTTTAAGATGCATCATCAGAGTAGGGACATAATGTAAGGTCTCAGAAGTTCCTCCAGATCTTCGATTACGTTTCTTCGAACTAATGCACCATTTTCGTTCATTGCAGATTCATTGCCGGATCGTTACTTCTTGGCCGAGCGAGGAGGGCTCGGCGAGTTTCCGCTCATCGTAAAGATGCATCTCTTCTCGACTTCGTTACTCCTTGTCTGAGTGTATTGGGTCTTCTCGATAAGTTTGCAACACTCTATGACGCAGTCATCGTCAACTTCGTCGTCAACGTTTGCGCTCCTTTGATTTGGAGGGTTCGACGAGCCCGACCCGAACGCAAAGTTCGTCTGGTACTGGAGGTGCCAGTTATCTCCAGTTTTTGCCCTCTTCTCGGCCGGCTCTTCGGTGTTGTCTTCGTTCGAAGAATCCTTACTTCTTTTCCTTTTCGCCGAGAGCACCAGAGGATCGTCATCGTCCGAGCCATCGTTCTCCAGAGGAAGAGCCATGGCTGATGTCGATTGCGCAGTCCCTTCGGGTCCTTCCGATCTGGTCGTCGGTCGAGTCTCCCGATTGGCGAGGAACAATTTGACAGGATTTTTCTGAAGGTCTTTGGAAACAATCGGATTGATCCCTCCTTCGCCAGGGTCCTCGTCTAGATCCTCGCTGTCGTAGGGGTCCTTCCGTTCGTCATTGAAGTCCTTGCCTTCCTCGGTCAGAGACGCGATTTCGTTGGGGTCTTCGGGATCGTTATTCGAGACCATGCTCGATTCATTTGCAAGTGAATGTAATTTTTCAGGAACGTTCTCCACGTATTCACTTGCTCGTCCTGGCGATTCTTTATCACTGGACATATTGTTCGTCCTCCTCCTTTTCTTCGCTCGACTCACGTCTTCGGGGGTGTTACTTAAGAGAGCGTTGGATTTTCTTAGAGAATCCGAAGACCTTCCTGTAGTCTTCGGGCTTATTATCGGCGAGGTGGTGGAATTCTTAAATGATCTTGCAGAAGTATTGGGAACGTTTTCGCAGGACTCAATCCGAGGGGAGGAGTCCGCGTTATGGCTGGTTCTTCTTCTGTAGCAACAGTGTACTTTACTGACTGTTTTTTTAACACGTTTCTCCCCCAACTCGGAAGCACCCGAGGTCGACGGTAACGTTGCGAAAGTCTTCATGCCTTCGTCGACGGCGCGAACCGCGTTATCAACCATTTCTTCAATTTTCTCTTCGTCGTCACAACGGTCCCAAAGTTCGGAGCGGAAATCCTGAATGAAGTCGACGTCTTTACCGCTTCTTGTGGTATTTCGTACCGATTCTGTCGCAGGATCTTCTCGACGTCTCCTTTTAGATCTAGTTTCAGGCTCCAGGCTGTTAAGCCACTTCCTGAAGAACTCGTCATCTTCGAGAGGCTTGACCTGATTTTCGGCGTTCTCTTCCTCCAGGTCAACGGGTACCTGTCCACCCCTGGAGTAGGTTTTCCTGAGGTTGTACCGGTGCCGACCTCCGGCATCTCCCATTGTAGGTGTGTCCAAAAGGTCGTCATCAAACGTGACGAACCTCCTGAAAGTAATCCCCGCTTCCTGGTTGTCCCAACCGGTACAGTCGAAGTCGAGAAAACAGTCGTCCGATCTAAAGTTCGTCCTCTGGAAGCTGAAGACCACCAGATCTCTAGGGATCTCCTCCCAGGAGGCGACCAGATTCTGGATAACCGTTTCTGGGTCCCAGAGAACGCATTCTGGGGTCGTTTTAGAGACGTATTTCCTGCGGTAGATCATCTTCATGTACTGGAAGACGTCCCTTCGAAGAGGCCTCAGCTTCGGGGGGAAAGCTTCGGGGAAGAAGACCAGAGTTACGTGACTCGGGTTGACGTTCTTCAGGGTGTGGAGTCGACTCCTGTGGAGCAGAAGAAGCACTCGACGTCCTTGACTGGCCATCTGCTCGTTGAATTGAGTCAACCACTCGTTGAAGAGCTCTTCGGAGATCCGCGAATTCTCGTCGTAGCGGTATCGGCAATTTGGAGGACCAATGTCGCCCTGATAAGAGCCACTTATCACGAGAGGAAGTTTCTCCGTGCCGGTGGCGTTGCAGCAGACCAGGACTGTGACTCGGTTGGTCTTCGTCAGGTCGTGTCGGTGACTCCAGGAGGAAATCTTCTCGGGCAAGATGTCGGAGTACATCGTCATCTCGTCCACGTGGAAGAGGTCCTTGTACCGATATTGGATGAACAGAGGCTTCATCAAGTCCACCCACACTCTATAATCCGTAAAAGTTGGGCCACGGCAGTCAGTTAGTGTCGATGAGAAACCGTGCTTCTTCAGAAAGGACATCAACCAACTCTCTGAACACTTGAAATCTGGAAGGAGAAAGATTTACCTTTAATTAATTGTATTAATAAGTAAATAGTCGGGTGGAAAGGATGTGGAAAAGAACTATTACTATATTATATTACAAATACTTAACTATACACATGCGCAGAACTTTTTGTGTCTATTTTATTTATATGATTCAGTTACTAATTTTCCTAAACGCTGTATCATTTGTTACGTAAATGTTTAACATTGATAAAGAGCATCAAGTAAGGTTTTTGACTGATAGATAAGTGGCAATTAGGTTCAGAGTATTTTCAAAGGGTTACTTGTACCGTTTGTTTCAAGATGGGCCGACAAATCAAGGGCCTTATCTCTCAGGATATTCCTATCAAGAGGACCGTTGATAGCGTGCCTTTTGCATATCCATTTCAGGAGTTCCTCCCTCAACCTGTTCATGGAGCTTTTCGAGGAACGCTTTTTGGAGTACTTCCAGGGTGACATATTTGCGAGAATCATTCTTTCAACCATATTGTTTCACGTGCAGAACCATAAAGTGTCCCTGGGGAAGACGTAAACGAGCTCTCCCAAGATGCGAGGAACCTTGATGAACAGGAGGCGTGACTTCCAGTGACAGTATTCTTCTTTTTTGCGAAATAATGGAAAGTCGACAGTTTACGTTGGATGTACGACGGAGTGTCGGTTCAAGCGGGGACTTGGTAAAATTTTGGCGTTTTCCCGGATCCTGCAAACTTGTAGTTTTGTTATTACGAATATTATGTTACCTCCGGAGAAATGACTTCTCTAAATTTTGGTTAAGCGGACTGGTGTGTTTCTGTGTATTTCTCTTTTTTTTTTTCTTCCGAGGAGAAAGTAGAATGTCGGCCGAAAAGTAGAAGGTCGGTACGTCATCGCTCCTTAACTGGCATTTTGACTTTTGGGAAATTGTAAATAAACGCTTTTTCGGGAAAATTACAGACCCAAACATTTCTGCGCAACTGAAATGTATTTATTAGCTTAAAACAAATGTTGTTATGTTGAACGGAAATAAATAAATAAATTTCACTCCTCTGTTATGGTTAGAAATTTTAAAGGACGTAATGATTCGTTAACTCGCGTTGTTTACCTATTAATTTCTTTCATGATTCATCAAATTTAATAACATCTTGTTATTGGCAGGAGAACATGGTTTCTCATATAGGTAAGTCTTAGAGATCGGCAATACGGTCGTATAAAATTAATTTCGTTCTTATTTCTAGGATGTTTTGTCTCCTGTCACGTAAAGATGCCTTCTTTTCATCACGCGCGTTATCACGCGCCGTCGTTACTCTCCCTAATCTCCATGAAAAGCTTAAAACTCGTCTGACGTCGCGACGCAAGTCGTCGCCACGATGACGTTAAAAACCCGTGTAAACGTCGCCATATTCATTGAATAACATTCTTAGGATATTTCTCACAATTTATTAATCCCTATAAAACCACCACTGAATCAATTTTTATCATTTAGGACAAAACAGGCTTAAATACTAATTACGATTATATTACACATTGAAAACTGTTAAATAATTCATGCTTACATGACACGATAAGAAAATAATATTGTTGAACTTCTAATTATAGTACATGTAAATATGAATATAATAGATATTTAAAAAATACAGATAGACTCGAGTCCTCTTCCGTACTTTTAACGTCTTTCCATCTTCTAACCTTTCCTGCTTGTAACCCACTACTTCTCAACAATTTTCAATTTACAAGGTATGTACCTATATTTGCAATATTAATAGACAGGAAGTGTTAGTGATCTCGTTCTTTCATATAGCGAATACGTAATTCGGCGAATAAACCCACGTGAGATGGAAGTACGAGAAGTGAGCGCTCTCGTGAAAAATATAGCGAATACGTAATTCGGCGAATAAACCCACGTGAGATGGAAGTGCGAGAAGTGAGCGCTCTCGTGAAAAATACGTAATAAACGCTAAACCACCAATTAGTACATAGATCAGTGATATAGGGTAATTTCAACGGGTCAAGGCGAGAAATCGCAACTTCAAGGCATAACGTAATCACGAGTTTACAGAGGAAGGATCAAGCCCTTCAATGATAAACAGGAACTGGCTAAGGTTTACGGTAATAATGTTGTCGAGAAGGTGGGTGGGGTTCTGAGGAACCAGCAAGGATTAACGACCTCGTTAATTCGGAGTGATCGAGTTGATGGCGACACTAAATCGGGAGGACGGCCCACCCTCTTCCGGATGCTGCGGAAGAAGGATGATTAAAGCCATCGTGCTTAATCCGACTGTTGCGATTGTTAGGATAGCCGGGTTTTCGCCCTTCGAGGGGTGGATTAATCGTCGCCGATAGATCGCCCATCGGAATTAACGGCCAAAGGCCGATGCAACGGGGACGATGCAGCGTTAAACGCTTTATGAGGGTTGTTTCCCTTAGATGGACCACCTCGACCTTCGGTAAATCGGCGAAGCTTTTCGTCGCAAAACGAGCTTCTACCTCTTTGGGGAAGAATATTAAAAATACCGAGATCCTCGAGATGGATGGTCACAAAGCTCTAAAAGCTCTAAAAGCTGCCCGCTCCCATTCCTTCGCATAATCTCTACGGAATGGGCACCTCGGCTTGCTGCTGGAATCTTACATGTTCAGCTTTATTAATTCGGCAGAGAGAACACATACTCCGCCGCATTTTGGGCATTCGTTGCGCGTCTTGCATATTGTAATTACAGTTTTTCCAGGGCTGGAATTAAAGTTAGCCCTGTATTTTCAGTAATTAATGGCGACTCGCGTCAGCGATTTCAGGAGGAGCGTACAATTAATACGATTAAGTGAGAAGCTATTTTGTTTCAAAATTGTAAATGCATTGTTGCATTCGGTTGCTATGAGTGTCGTAGATGCTAAAATTTCGTTTTATTTATACTCGCACTTTTCACAGAGCTCGTTGCATCAACGTTCAAGTTAGAATTCTTAATTAAAGATTACTTAAAGCGCGGTGAGAGTTAATCGCTGGATTTTTTTGGTGATTATCTAACAGCTGATTTTAATCTTCGGCTGGGTAAGTTTTTAGGTGTAATACGAATTGCAGTTAACTAATAATAGCTAAGAAATTCACGCTAATCACGGTTGATGGAGCCGGTCATTAGTGAACGATAAGAGTTCTGTATTAGAGTAATTCATTTTTGTAATCAGTTTAATTGGATGTCGAGAAAGGCCGCAACGCTTGAAAATTCTGGAAAAAAAGTTCAGGAGTGAAATTGCGTGTAACCTGAAATATTTCCATTCGCTCAACGTGATTTTAATGCTCGTTCCCTTACGCGGTTTCGAAACAAAATCGTATTTTGTCGTACAGTTGCAGCTTTATGGTTGCCGTGTATCGTGGTTGCTCGGGCAAAATTGCATTTGCCATGCATGTACCGTTTCGTGTTATACGGATATGTAGCCCAAGAGGGGGCCAATGAAGTTCTCGCGGGTCTTGTCGCGGGAGCATCTCGAGAGGAGAGGAATGCAGGAATAATAAGTTTTCCCGGAACTTCCGGATTAGTTTGAATATTATCGTCGGATGCATTTGAGGGAAATCCATTTTTTCTTCACCGACTACACGAAGGAAGATATGAATCCCATCCAGAGGCTGCATGCATAATATCGAGTATTCCGAGGCAGATCTTTCTCGGCAGACTCGAATACTCCGAAGGAAGCTTCGAACGTAAATCTCACTTCCCTGCAAGGAACCATTCGGAACGTGGTTTAATAAACGGCTCCATATATCTCGATCTTAATAATTCTTTTTTTGTTTCTAAAGTCTTAACTAAGCTGAAAATACCACGAAAATATTATTCATTCGTGGATGAAGGGAAATTAGGCAGATTTAGATTGAATTAGGTTGTCTTTTGATTTTGGTCTGTCTCTTTTTTCCGATTAATGACTTTCTTCGAGGGAGGATCATGATCGTCAGGGTCAAAGTTGCACTCCGTGCCTCGCAATGGGTCTCGATACTTATTCACACCTTGTCCCATCCCCTCGAACGCCAGTTTTCCCCTTTACCTCGCTCGATAACTCCCTGCTGCGACGTGGAATAATATTTAATCGTAGCTGCTGGCCAGCACGCGAATGTGAGCACTGTGTTTTCTTTCCTGATATCGCTCGACCAGACCGGAACTTCAGAGCTCGCGAGGACGATCATGGCCTCGGTCAAACCTCCGGAGTACAATCCCATGTACCCCATGCAGGTACTTTTCGCAAACTCCATATATTTCTCCTCGGCTCACCTGCTTACTTTTCGCTTCCACCGCTTTTTTGTTTTTTCGAAATCTTCCTGGCCCCATTCATTGGTAAATAAATCCTTTAGATATATATCGAAACGAATTTATTCAGAAGGATGATCATGACTTCGGTCAAACCTCAAGAGTACAATCCCATGTACCCCATGCAGGTACTTTTCGCAAACTCCATATATTTCTCCTCGGCTCACCTGCTTACTTTTCGCTTCCACCGCTTTTTTGTTTTTCGAAATCTTCCTGGCCCCATTCATTGGTAAATAAATCCTTTAGATATATATCGAAACGAATTTATTCAGAAGGATGATCGTGACTTCGGTCAAACCTCAAGAGTACAATCCTATGTACTTCATGCAGGTACTTTTCGCAAACTCCATGTACTTCTCATCGGCCCATCTGCTTCATCTTCGCTTCTACCGCTTTCTTGGTTTTTCGAAATCTTCCTGGTCCCCTTCATTGAAAAATAACTCCTTATCTTCGAAGCCAATCTACCCTTATCTATCGAAACGAATTTATTGACAAGGATAATCGTGACCTTGCGCAATCCTCCGGAGTACAATTTCATGTACCCCGTGAAAGTATTTCCTACAAATTCCCCTTCATCAGTAGGTGTAGGATTTGCTTCTTCATTTCTACCGCTTCTTTGAAGTTTGTTCGCTATCTTCCTGGCCCCCCTTATCGGTAAATAATCCTTTTCACAGTTACCTCTCTTCGTGAAACAGATTCATCCACGGGGACGATCGTGACCACGGTCAATTCTTCAAAGTACAATCCTGGGTACTTCTTGAAAATCCGGTGTACTCTTCGTCAGCCGATCTAGGACTAGCTTCTTCGCTTCCATCGTTTTTCTTTCCACAATCTTCCAAGTACGCTCCCTAAGTAACAAGTTCCCTCTTCCTTATTTCTAATCATCTTCGTTTCATCAAACGGATTTATTACTTTTAATATGAGCATTTTTCTGTGTCAAGACAATGTACGTGATCGGTGGTATTTATTATTTTTTTTTACAGATCTAAGTGCAATCAATCGAATTTGTATGATTGGGCAAATATGGGTACAAAACGTAAATATTTCATTCATCGCGATTGCTTTCAATCGACATTCCTTTGATTATTCTTGTAATTGATATTGTAAGTCTTTGAGCTGTGAGAAATGTTTGTGCCACAGCAATAATAAAAAATATACTAAAGAAAGTCATTTTCAATGCTGATTAGGTAGGTAATCGGGTATTGCGGAAGATTTACTTTTTTTGGTTGGAATCAGCAGTAAAATGTATAAATCCCCGATAGACCTCTATGTGTTCTGCAAAAGCAGCGCTTGCAAAAACAAGCACGTTCGTCCTCGTGTTTAATTTAATCGGAGCTTGCTTACTATGCGTACATTCGCTCTGGTTGTTACATGTAATGCACCTGCAAGTTTTGGGAACAGCTTTGTACGTACGTTACTACGTTTTTCTATTTCCAAGAAGCTATCTTTCCAAACTAAGCGGTTTTAATTCGTAGATTCCCATTGGTACAACAGTCACGCATATTTGCCGCTATTAACGAAAGTAACCACCGATACGTGGTTGCATAAATACCACTAAATTAAACATTCATTTCTCGTTTCGGACGTTCGATTGAGATTACGTAATATTTACTGGGTATACATGACGATATTTACTTGATTTTAACCGTCCCGAAATTCTGTAAGCAGCACGCGAAGCGTATTAGCAAATTCTCCCGTAATTATGCAAACATGGTTTAATCGTTCAATATGACAGTAAATGTTGGTACAAATATTGTATTATAATATGGCAAAATTAAGTAATTAAATTGAACGGGAGGAAAAATGAAAAATACATAGAAGCGCATTTAGAGGAGACACGTAGACACGTCCTTCCTGTATATTATTTTTGTAATCACTGCTGCAGTGGGAATCGATAACACTCGTTGGCTCTTGATGTGACGTGAATAATAGCTCGTCCTGGGAAACTTGTAGCACCGTTGGCATTGCACGGCATGTTATTCTCGCGGATACTAATTGCACCAACAGAAGTGTTTCGATTCAAAACATAATTTGTTGGCTTTCATGGCTGGCTAGCGTAAGGAGAAACTCGCCATTTTTCAGATACCCTTTCAGGAAGCTGAATTCCGGCGAAACGTTTTTAACGTAGAACCAACCCTAAGGAAATCTGCAGTTTCTGTGGATACAGATTTCATTTCCGAAAGGAAAAGACACGTAGAAAAAATTCGAGGGCCAGAATCTGCTCTGTATTCTGCGGTATGTCCGATCGTATACGCATTGAGGATATTTGGATTGGCCCCCTACAGGTTTTCGAAGGATCAATTGGTACCTTCGAGGTTCAATTTGATTTTTGCTTTTGTCTTTATGGGAATTTACAGTTATATTATTTATGGTATTCTTATACAATTTCTGAACGTCGAGAGAGGCAGTCCCGTGCTTGGCCATATAGAAACGATAAAGGTGAGATAAAATGATTACTATTATTTCAGACGCGTTCGTATGTATCGGCCTGGCTCGAAGATTTAGGACGAAAACATGAACAAGTTTAAAAAAGAAAATTATGTTATCCAAGAATTGCATGGAAATTAGTCCGATTCAGGAATGGTTATCGAGATTTTAAGGGGGTCGTACTATGTGACGGCCAGTTTTTTCAATTTTTTCGGGATTTTTTTTGGGGATCATTAAATTACACAAACTTGAAATTTTTACTACATATTTACTTGCATTCGTACACTGTACGTGTCACGTCACTGTCATTGTTAACTTGATCTTGCGGTGTTTGGCAAATCTGTGCAAAGCTCTCGGAAAAGACTGCTGTAAAAAAAAGTAGTGAAATGGCTGCCACGATTCCGGCTGTTCTCCTCATTTGAAATCAAACAATTTAATTGATTATTAATCGATAGATATGTGGTTATAACTGGCATCGGAATTAAGTAAAAAAATTGAAAATTAAAAAATTGAGCCAGTTTTTAAAATTAATTGGAAATTTTGTATTTTTTTCGATGAAATTAGCGTGAGCTAAAAAAAAATAGGATAAATATCACTAATATTTTGGTGCCAGTTGTAACTGTGTCTGCTGAACATGTCATTGAAATTTGAGCACAGTCGGTTCAGTAGTTTTTCCTGAAACTTGGCAGTCAATTTGAAAAATGTAGTTTTGAGAAAAACGCGCTTGAAAGTTCATGTACGCATTACACAAAGATAATTTTGACTCACCTTAAACGGCTTTTGCTTCTTAACGACTTCGAATACGGGGAAATCCTTTTACAGACATATTGTGGGGATGATTTGGAAGTAATTTAGCCAAAAAAAGAATTTGATTTTTCGGACCCGACACATAGTACGACCCCCTTAATCGTTCTCGTTATTATAAAATATGTAAAATGTGTAATAACACGCAAGTAATATAATGAATACCGTTTTTCATTCTATATCAGTTTTTTATGGTGATCTGAAATGGCATTGTTAACGATTCCCCAGCAGAAAGGAACATGGAATTATTGAATTTTTAATTTTCTACAGGTAGTATTCAATTATTGCGTAGCAATGTGGGATATTATAATAACTATTCGATGTAGCAACAACTTTACAACTGTCTGGAACGCATATCAAGACTATGACGAGAAAGTCAGAAATTTAGGATTCGCTCGGAGCGGAAATAAACCGAAATATTGGGCCTGGTCGATGCTGATTATAAGTTTCATTTTGTGGACGATCATTAACCGAGCTGGAATGGAAGCATTTGACGAATCATGGATCTTTAATGTTCGTTATTTCATAACCTACGTCGGTACTTCCGCCTCGGTGATCAAGTTTTCTGGGATGACTCTTTTACTTGGCCAGAGATTTTATCATCTTAATAAAATGGCTCTTCAAAGTGTTCCTACAGCCACGAGAATAAAAGGAGTACCCGTTGTAGATTTAAAGGTATACCTATCGTATTTAATGAAATGAAAATGTAACTATTATAGTAGCTAATGACAGGAGTCTGCGTATGACGATTAACAAAGTTTTCGTCCTCGGATATCGAAGAACTTTTCTATTCAAACGTCACTTGAAAATATTTTCTATTTCCTGATTATTCTAGTCGTTCATTAGCATTTATTTATGATCATTCAATTATAGCCACGCTTATCATGCAACAAAATTCAATGCTTCATCAGCGGACCAGAAACATGGACTCTTTGATTAATTCATGGAATCGATTAGTAATTGCGCTCATCAGATTTTACTAATTTCCAGTGACCTATTTGTATAAGATGAGTTCTATGAAACCTTCAGAATAGGTGGAATGTAATTTCTACGATCACGTCCATTCTCTAATCAAGTACAAATCACACAAACAGTCAATGACGCCCACCCTGATGAGAATATGTTACATGATAGGCTGTCGAATTTCTGATTGAGGACTGCTTTCCCATTTCCGATCTTATGATTCCTCGTCTAATTGGCTAAATGAAGCTTTGCAGCAAATGTATCTTACCGATTTTGGAATCGCTGACAAGAATCATACATGGGATTATTTATTTGCAAACATTGCTCGATGATTAAATCTTATATTCTATCGGGGTGGAGAGTATTTTTTTATATCCTGATATTTAACTTTAGGCACAATTTTTGTTTGGCTTCCAATTATTATATTAATTTATCTTCCTCAGGTAATTGAACGACTACACGGGGATCTGATGGTGGCTGGTGAGAGTCTCGATTCCCAATACTCAAATTCGGTTTTGCTCTGGCTGACGAATTTGTGCATTCACATTGTGAGCAATCTTTATTTCGTCATTGACTGGACTACTTCAAGAAGCTGGGATGACGTCCAATGGCGAATAGTGATTTGTCTAGTGTCTTGGCTGATGGCCTTCGTCGGACAATTAGTTCTTCTTAACATGTCCTGCCATTTTACGTCCAGCGAGGTAGTCAAGTATTTCTTTGTTAGCAACATTTATTATATTTTTGCCCATTTTTGTTCCCACGGATAGCTATCGTATCTTCGGGAAAGTTTATACCAAGATGGCCGACAAAGCGCTCCTTCGAAGGGTAGTCCATTTTGGTACGCGTCTAACTTTTTCCTCCACCATCCCCAAGGAAACCGACTCAAGCTATGAAGCAACCTACTGGACGAACTCTCCCCGGGAAGGGAAATACTCCCTTGGAATCTTCTTCGGACAATTAGATCCAAAGTAACCCCTTGTTAAACTTATTTCAGGCTAACTCCATGGGGTACATACTGATTAACTGGAGAACCTCGATGATCCAACGCGATCGCAATTACGTGAGTAGATTTCCTCTTATAAACCACCCTCAAAAGATACTAACTAGAAGCTCAATTACACAATTCAAAAGATTTAGTTTTTATACCATGGATATACGTTAACGAAATTGAAAAATTGAATAGCATAATAAGAAAGATATTCGGAGAGTGCAATGATATTGGATTGAAATTTAGTTATTTTCCTAATTATGTTTCAATATTATTATACATGATGCTTTAGCATAGATATTTAGGTTGAACTGTGTTTTGGAATATCAACTATTTCCAAGTGTCGTGCTGAATATAATATTCATTAAATTCCGCCCTGAAATTCGCAATTTAGAGTAATGTACTGCATCGAGTTCCATTGTGATTACAGAGTATGGAAACTTCTCTCCATTTGATGAATCGCAGATTGAACTTCTCGGCGGGTGGATGCTTCTTTGTGAATCTGCCACTATTGCGATCGGTAAGGGAACTTTTAATTGAATCCTGGAAATCTCGTTTACAGTGCGGCGGGTTTTATACGTAATGTGTTCCCCTCTCCAGGGAAATATCAAATTCGCAAATCATTTGCGCCTCGACAATGGTCGACGTACAATAGATTTTGGAAATTGCTCGCTACGAGTTTAACTGGAGACTCATTTCTAACTTCGGGTCTGCAAATTGCTTTCCTTTGCGGATTTTCTAATTACCAAGTGCAGTTCCCGTTTTTCCTTTCAGCAAAATGTGCTCACTTTTCTTATTCCTTTCAGACCATAGGATTACTCACGACGTACTTGGTCATACTCCTTCAACTTCCTGATTAAACTCCGAGGTTGAAAATCGAATAAAGTCAAGTTTGAAAATCTTTTGCTATCTATTTATTCCTCGATATTCCTGTAATGTTAAGCTTGATACCCATTCGTATAAGTCGTTTTTGTTTTGCAAATTTATCATTTACTTCATTTTATAACTAGGAAGTCCTGAAGAGATTTTTTCGTGAAATCGTTCGATGTATTTTTTGTTATTCAATAATTGACACTCGCAAGCAGTTCCTGGTTGCGAACTGAAGATAGACTTTGAGAAACCGAGATATTACAATCGGTTCTCCTGGGAAATTCAACAGATATGAATCGGATATATGGGACATCATGGTTTCTTGAGGTTTCAGATTGTCGATCTCTCTTGCGCATCCTTCTTTAGTTTCATTCTTAAAGAGATTTCATGCGGATATCCGAAACGTTAAATATTAAATTCCTTACCTATATCTTTGTTCTTAAACATTTGATTTATTATTGGTGGAATAGTCGTTTTGTACTAGCCAAAACATTCGTTAATATTTCATACTCAATACGTTTCCTAACGACCATTTTTTAATGTGACTCGTACGTATCTTGTTTAAAACTATATTACTTGAAAATTTCCTATTGGATCATGATTAAATATCCCAACGATATTCTCTTCCCTAACATCTTCCATTATTACAAAACTATGTCCTATGCTGTAACATACTTACACGTACATAACATTTCACTGAAAAAAGTACATATACCAATGCATAGTAGGCATTAAAAAATTATGAAAATACCTTCGAGAGAAAGAACTGTCCCTTATTATATAACAACGCGTAATTTCTTCCCATCAGAGGTATAAGAATTCCTTCAAATTAATTTCTTCCCTCCCGACAAAAGCCATCTCAATTGAGCATAATAATTTCGTCGGGTTAATAGCGAATCATTTCTGCAGACATATCGCAATGTGTCATTGCGCTCTCTACAAGGTGCATCGATTTGCCACACCATTGCCCCGGAAAATTGCCGCTTTTCCCACGACCCTTGGTCTTTTTGGTCGATGTCGCGTGACGCGAATCCAAAATGTCGCAAGGACACTTGACAAGAAGTCGTGCACGTACACAAAAGCGTCAACTTAAGAGTCCTGTAGTATTCCAGTGCACTTTGGGCTGATACTTTCGCATTCGCGTCCCGTGGCCCGAATGCGAAATGCTCGTAGAAATGCTTTTTGGACATTGACTCAACGGTTTACGTAACTTTGTCAATGTTTTTTATCGAGGAGTTATAACAGGGGAAGAGTGCACTCACTTTCCTTGATCCTTCGAACGTGTGAACGCAATTTACGTCTAGGAATAAGCCCCCTGAAAAATGTTTGCACAGAAAGTGTTGACACAGAATTGGGTTCTTTTGGTTACTTTTTTATGTTTCTGTGCACTAACATTAACCGTACCAGGCCGGTCAAATGACCGGTTTCAAAGTTTCATTTAAAATTGTACATTCGTTATTATTTTTTTTGTTCATCTACCTTGACGTAAATTATTATATTATCGTATTAATCAATTTGTCGATTATTAGGTTTTTTTTCCTTCTTTTTTTCACTGAAGAACAATTCGTCACCTGGCTTGTTTACCGCGACCGGTCATTTGATCGGTCGACGAATTTACATGTTTTTCTAATAATATTCAGTACATTGGTTTCGTATAGAAATATAAAAAATATATGGTTGATTATTTTATTATTACATCAAAGTTATGTTGTGCACCATTTCCTCCAAGAAATTGACAATTCCTTTAATAAAAATAAGTCTATTTCGTAATCGGTCATTTGACCGGTCGCGGTACAAATAGGTATATATTAAATCTCGGTACGTTTAGTGTTAAAGGTTACGATTTCTTTGTCAACGTTCGTGTTTCAAAAGAGATAAGCATGAAAGGGTTTCGTTTAAATAACGTGATTTGTCGCCAGAATTGTTCATACTTTGTTGGTGCTGCGTTTAACCGGACGCAGTTAAATTTGACCGAACAAGGGGAATTACCAGCTTAAGCGCGGCTTGAAAGTAGTTTTTACATCATTTATTCGAACAAAATTCGTTGGGAATTAATGACCTAGTTAGTGGAACCTGTGAAACACGAAAGATATTTCGTTTGCTCTCTTTGATATCAAATTAATGAACGACATCTCTAAACCCAATTAATGTGATAACTTTACAAGAGTTGGAAACGTTCACTTTTTTTTACATATTCTGATGTCTTTGATAATTAAATGCAATTCTGAAGTGTGATTTTCTATAATTGCTCAGCTCGAATGTTTTCTAATTGCAAATATAAGTGAAAGAAAACTTTTACAAATTAGATGAGTTATGAAATTACCAGGGGAAATTATGTATACGTGTTGGGATCGGATAAATTAAATTAATTGTTTCTAGCGTTTCATACGTAATTGCAGCTAATCCCTATCTAACTTGTGCTTTAATTAATCGGAATTATTAGGTTTCCCGTATACCTTGTAATTGGTACGACTCCTACGAGTTTATCGCACTTTAAATATCATTTGCTTGTCACAAGGATGTATTGTATTTCAATAGATTAAGAAATTTCCAATTAAAAAAAATATCGAAGTTTTTTATTTACAGAGGAATCGGTAAAATTAAGTAGAACATTTATACAAGAATATATCTATAGGAATAGGTAGGTCTTGCGGTACTATAAAGAATGTACAATTTGTTATTCTAAAAAATACTTATTCTCTTCAAGATTTACATCTGAGAACGGATTACGTTCAGCGTCCTCCATCATAGATACAATACGATTGGTCTTACGCTACACTTAAATCTAATATTTTACAATTGGGAACGGCAATTAGACAGAAAGGTATTGAAAGTAGATGTCCATTTCTTAACGCTATTACAATAATTTGCGGAAGGACATCATATGCAACTTATGTAATTAACGATCTTAAGAACATCATTTTTGAATTGATGAAAACGCGAAATATGCCTGTCTGTTCTAAGATATTTTAAACTTGTATACAGTCTTCCAAAAAATATAATCATATTACGAAGAAATAAGTACACACAAAAGATTGTTCGAACGATTACGTAAAAGGCAATTTGCAACATAAGTTTTAGTTTAATACTATTTATACGATATTATTTTGTTTTTATTGCAATTTATACTTTTCATTTTTCGACCACTTTGTGCATATTTTATACGGTAATGTACTAGATTATCTCAGAAGTTTTTGTTAAATATTTCTCCGAGAAATACACAACACTTCTTGCAAACTATATTTCATTAGTGTTGTTTATTTTTAGGTATACAGCGAATGCAACTCTGATTTCCCGAGATCATGTTGAATATTTTTTTACAATATTTCACAGGACTCATAATTTTGTATACAATTCATTTACACGAACTTAAAGTTTTTGTCAAATATTTCATGCGGAAATACACCAAACCCCTTGTAAATCACGTTCAATTGATAGTTTTATTCATGACTTTAACGCGAGTGCGATTCCGATTTCCTGAGATCCTGTTGAATATTTCATGTTAAAATATACAGGACTCATTTCATACTCGATATATTTATACATTCTTGGAGTTTTTGTCAAGTATTTCACATGGAAATACACAAAACCCCTTGTAAATCACGTTCAATTGATAGTTTTATTCATGACTTTAACGCGAGTGCGATTCCGATTTCCTGAGATCCTGTTGAATATTTCATGTTAAAATATACAGGACTCATTTCATACTCGATATATTTATACATTCTTGGAGTTTTTGTCAAGTATTTCACATGGAAATACACAAAACCCCTTGTAAATCACGTTCAATTGATAGTTTTATTCATGACTTTAACGCGAGTGCGATTCCGATTTCCTGAGATCCTGTTGAATATTTCATGTTAAAATATACAGGACTCATTTCATACTCGATATATTTATACATTCTTGGAGTTTTTGTCAAGTATTTCACATGGAAATACACAAAACCCCTTGTAAATCACGTTCAATTGATCGTTTTATTCATGACTTTAACGCGAGTGCGATTCCGATTTCCTGAGATCCTGTTGAATATTTCATGTTAAAATATACAGGACTCATTATTTTGTATACAATTAATTTACGCATTCTGTGAGTTTTTGTCGAATATTTCACTCGGAAATATACAAAACTCCTTTTCAATTATGTTTAATTGATTGGTTTATTCCTAGCTTTAATGCGAGTGCGATTCTGTTTTCCTGAGATCCTGTTGAATATTTCATATTAAAATATATAGGACTCATATCATACTTGATATATTTATACATTCTTGGAGTTTTTGTCAAGTATTTCAGGCGGAAATACACAAAACTCTTTGTAAATTATATTTAAATGATTTTTTAGTTTCAACTTTAGCGCGAGTGCTATTATAACCTCTTGAAATCCTGTGAAATATTTCACGCGAAAATACACAGGACTTCTTTAATATGTAATAAATTAACATATTCTTACAGTTTTTGTTGAATATTTCTCGCAGAAATACACAAAACTACATACTATGAAACTTAAGGAACCCTTTCACATGTTGTGTAGGCAATATTGCACGCAAAAAAGTAATTCTATCGGATTTTTAAACTACATATAAATATTTCTCACCGAAATAAACAAGAGTCGACTTAATCGTACACTACGTTGCAATTTTCATTTACTGATAACACGATATTTCATAGAGAAAAACTGACATTTTCGCAAGGAAAAATCGAAATTAATAGTGGTTTAAAAAAAATATATATAGTCAAAGTTTAATAAGTGACATCGCGAAGAACGATTGATTCTAAATAGAAAAAGAGAAAAAGTATCGAAAAGAAGAGAAAGATGTGACTAGAATACCTATAACCAATAATAAAAAAACTAGAATAGTCCGAGACCTGACACTTTAAGACACTACAAAAAAAAAAGCAGGACTGCAAAATTTTCAAAAATTGAATTATTAATTCAAACGTAATCTAGTCAAGTCTGTAAATGTATACGCGATTAAAATACTTCTAATCCT